ACATTGAGTATATATTTGATAAAGATCAGAAATTAATTTCCTGTAGTATATCTGGCTTTTAGAAAGCTTTACTACTCCTCTAATTAAAACAAGATAAATGAACTGCTAGTCCTGAAACTTATCCATTAAGATGATTTTTTTTTCCCTAGGTTTTATAATGGCAGGTTTATAAATGTCCTAATAAAAATTAGGACAGTTTTTGTTTTATATGACTCTCAATAGCTGTAGCCCTTTCAAGACCAAATTATTTTCTGCTTTGTTTGTTGAAACCATGTATTTTCAGAAACAGAAGGATTTTGAATGAAATTAAAAATAATTGTTCCTGAGATAGTACAGATTTTGATACAATTACTGGGACACATATGTGCTGAGGGATCTCTGTTGCTGGGATTGGTGGGATGAGGCCTGTTTCTTCAGACTCACAGTTATACAGGCCTCTACCAGAAGGCAGCATGCACAGAAAGTGGCATGAGAACTTCCCTCCAAACCCCTGAGGAGTAAAATGTAAGTGGGCACTATACGTCCCATGGGTCATGAAAGGGTTGGTTACATGGAAAGGTGAAGGACTTGGATTAATGTGGTTGGGCCTGCAGCCAGTTTCCAGTATTGGAAGGAACCTCAGAGCTCACGTTAAGTGGCTCACGTTGCTTCAAGGTGAAAGCGTGCACTCCTCAGGGTGCGTGTCAGGCCCTGGGTTTATCTTCCTCCAGTTCTCTCTGCTGTCCCACCTCTCCATCCTCTGCATCACACCTCTCTTCTTATCCTCTCCTGTCTTCTTGTCTTAGCACGGTCTGCTCTTTCCTCAGAGGGTACCCTAAGCCCCATCTCTAACTGAGCAACTCAGGGTCATTCCTCCCATCTCCGTTCCCAGCCTACAGCCTTTTCCAGTTATCGCAGGCACAGCCGTTTGTTCATGGCATTTACCATGCGGCACTCATTGATCTCTTCACAAGGTTAGGAGCTTTTCAAGAGTTGGCAAGGATCGTGATTTCATTGACTTAAAAAACAAAGCAAAGCAAAGCAAAGAAAACCCCAGACAACAAACTCCCACTCCCTAACACGGCTTGGCCAGTACCAGGCCTTGAACCCAGACTGAGTGAGTAACTCCGCTCATTTCATGAGTGAGGCACCTGAGGCCCCCAGAGAGCCTGATGCATATGTCATGCTCCTCTGGGATCAGGTCACGGCCTCTGTGGCTTCCTCTCCACTTTGTCATGAAGTCATCCTGTGGCCACACCGTGGTGCGTAGGGAGTGAGTCTCCCTTTGGTCAGTAGCTGGGACCATCCTATTGGGCTTGTTGATCTCTTGAAGTTGTATAATACACATTTAGACAACTGTGAAAATGGTTAATTTGGCCTTCCAAGATTTTTCCTACAATGAGTTACAGATCATTTGTGGTTCCATCATAAAATCTGTCCAACCAAACCAAACTCACTGCCACTGAGTTGATTCCAACTCATAGTGACCCCCGTTTGGTTTCCAAGGCTGTAAATCTTTATGGAAGCAGACTGCCGTAGCTTTTTTGCAGAGTGGCTGGTGGGTTTGAACCGCCAGCCTTGTGGTTAGCAGCTGAACGCCTTAGCCACTGTACCACCAGACATCCTTACAAAGTCTCCAGATGACGACAGTGTTTCAAGGTCTACAACGATGTGGTGCTTTCCTCAGATTTCACCACGTGGAGGTGTTTAGGGCCATGGTGGAGTCCTAGGGTGGACCTGTGAAAGTAAACACTAACAGAAGAAATGAGGACCTTTTGAGCCATCAGCCTCTTGGAAGTTTTGTATATGCAGATGTGTGTATAATAAAATACCTTGGGTTTTTCCACAAGTCAGTAGTTCAGAAATTTATTTCTAGTTTAAAGCCAAAAGCTGTCCCAAACCAAACTAAACCAAACTCACTGCTGTTGGGTTAATTCCAGCTCTTAGTGACCCCACTGGGTTAGCTCCTTAACATCTACTTTACAACATCTCACTGAAACATTATTACTTGATGAAAGACCTATTGCTCTGCTTTAAAGATTTTATTCAAAATGTTTAAGAGAACTACTCACATGCCATCACACTGGGTTATTAGAAGCAGACTGCCTCAGCTTTCTTCTGTGGCTGGCTGGTGGGTTTGAACTGCTGATCCTTTGGTTAACAGTCAAATGCCTTAACCACTACACCACCAGAGTTCTGAAAGCTGACAGTAGCTTTTAATATAGGAAACATCTGTTTTCAACTGCTGGAGCATCACGATGAATTTTGTAAAGCAGTGGCCACAGCCAATGACTTTGATGTTTGAAGGTCAAGGTGAGTGAGGAATGTCAGTATTGGTGTTGGTTGCTGAACGCTTCTCCTCATGGCTTCTCTCCATCGCAGAGGTCCGAACTCAGTTCCTTCTTTTCGTCTGTCCTCTGTTTACCGTGTATAACTTAGATCTGGTTTATCGTTATATTTGTTTTTAAATCCTCATTGTTAATATGACCAAGAGATGACTGAACCAGGATGTATTTCTCCAAACCTCCTGTGTCTGTACTAAAAAAACAAAACAAAACAAAAATTTCTTTGTATAACCATTGTGTATTATGTGTGTTTGTATTCTAACCCATGTCTAAGCCCATGGATCAGCAATCCTTAATTAAAAAAAAAAAAAAAACTAACACTGTATATTACCTGTGCCAAAGGGATAAGGAGGCAGCATCTTCTGACCTCTAACTACACAAAAGGAGGATAGAATCACTACCATCTGCCTGAGGCCTGTTCCTATGAGGCCAGACATGCCGCCACCTTCCAGCCCTCTTACTAACCCTGACACCAACTGTCCCTCCCATGGCACCCACCACCTGTCTGCTGGGTTTGATAACTTGCTGCAGTGGCCACACAGAACTCAGATTATGGAGTTTATTAGGGAAGCACCAGACTACAATTCAAGCTCTGGAACGTGCTCAGTGTCTCTCGGCAGCTGGCCGTCTGTCTCAGTAGCACATCTCTCTCTCAGCAGAGTGTCTCTCTCAGCCGGCAGTCAGAGAGTCAGCAGAGAGACTCCTCCTGCCTCTAGAAGGGCTCCTTTGAGCCTGGCGGAGTGGCCGAAGCCATCCGATCCCCACACCTGAGACAGTGAACTTCCCAGAAAATTGCTTCCTGCTGCTCCCACAGAAACACCCCAGGTGGATAACTTTAACAATTAGGAGCTACTCAGTTGCTCACGGCAAATTCCACCATAGAGTTTCCAAAGGCTCTGGCTAGAAAAGCCACACTGTGTAATTTACTGCACTGCAACCTGGAAGAAAAAAAAAATCCCTATTAGCTCATCCTCACCACCACCAAAAAAGCCAGGAACCTGAACAGAAGAGCAGTCAGCCCCAGGGTTACAGGTGAGGAGAGACAACTCAGGGACACCCAAAGTAGCAAGTGGGAAGAGCAGGAGAA